TTTTGAAAAATAAAGTTTTAATTTAACAATTATTTTAAAATATTATCAAGGAGTTTAAGCCATTTTTTTATAATGAAATTGCTATTCCAAGAACATCTTTCATTGAATTATTATGTTTATATCTTAGCATCACATCTTTAATATTTTTAGTTACATTATCATTTAATTCATAATACTTGGTAATTAGATTAAACTCATATAATTTTCATAAAAAAAAAAAGAAACTATGATGAGTAAACATTCAAAATAAGTTCAAAAATATGAATTAATGAAGAGAGTTACTAATAGAAAAATTAATTAAAAATAATAAGTATAATAACTTTTTAAAAATAATAATAATAAAAACAAATGGGTCAACCTGTGAACTCATTATTTGACCCTAACTTGACCTGTGTTCCTTACGGATTGATATTATAAGTTATCTATGGGTTACAGGTTAAGATATGCAAACTCTAACTTCTTTTTACAGGTTGGGTTAAAATTGGATTAACGAATTGGGAGAGGATTGAGTTAACGGGTTGGGTGGATTTTTGCTCTCCCTACTAACTAGGTATTTCTCACTAATTAGGGGGAACTGAGGATTCAATTAGAAGGCTAGGGATGGCTGTTGAAGGGGTTCTCAAGGTTAGGAAGTGATATATATACACTAAATAAATGGAAAATTTGCCCAATTGATTTTGATATTGTTATTTAATATTTTTTTATAATAATGGAGGAAAAATCTAAAAAGTGGATCTTGTGAAAAAAATGGAAGCATGACTTTATTGTGTTATTTCACATAAAAAGAGATGATACAGTGGCAAGACTCTGTTTGTCAAGGAACCAATTTAATGATGAGTTTACGTGAAACGTCACAGCGCACGTACCCAAAAAAAGCTGTTCCATTTCAGCGTTAACCAAACAGCAAAAGGCCACTCCTTCCGTAACATAAGATACGAACGCCATTTCTGGCATATTTGCCTACCGTCCGTTTTCCCCCACTCTTTACTTCGTTTTTTGTTTTTTTTGCTTAACAGGTTAGATCGTCGGATTTCAAATCCATGCTTTATGCTTGTTTCCTTCTTGTAATGTTCTTCATATCGATTCCATGTAAAACTTGAGATCTTTTATTTATAAAATCCATATTTAAACTTTTGATTTAATTCATTTTATAAATATTTATAAATTATTTTACTTATAAATACGGGTTAAGTTTCGTGAAAGAATATTTAAACATGTAATTTTATTTTCAGTAAAAAAAAATAATTGATTTGTTTTTGATATAAGATACAAAGTTATTATAGAAGCATACAAGTATAAATTTGACTACTTAAATATAAAATAAATAAGAGTAATTTATTTTACGGTTTAGAAGAAATATATATATTTTGATCTTTATTGCATAATGAAAGACAATTATTTTTTATTTTTTATCTCATTCCATCCATATGTCATATGATTTTAATTCAGAATCTCTTATTTTCAGTGAAAAAAGATTGTGTTATTTAGGTTGTTGGCACAGTTTAAAATATTTTACGTTGTTAAACAAAAATTATTTGATAGAGAGAATTCTCAGTATAAAGAAACTCACTATAATTTAATAATTAAAATATTTTAAATTACATAATATTTTTTTAATAAATAATGTAACAAAAAAACAAAACTTTTGAAAAAATTACTAATAATCTCATGAATCTCAAGATTATGAGATCTAAAATCCGTAACCCCTTACGTAAGTCCTAATTGAAAAAACAAACTGAAGTCATAGGAAATCTGCTTCCTAAAAAATGGAAAAAAACAAAAAAGGTACCTGAATAAGCAAGAAAAGAAATGCCAAGAAACACCTAACTCCCCTTTAATTTGGAACTCTTCCCTCCCAAGCTAAGCCTTAATTACCGATCGTATGAATAATACTAAGAAAAATATTTAATTTGGTCAGGTCCATCAATGTTGAAAAACCACCGGACCCTGAGATCCAATTCAAGGAATTAATGTCACCAACAACTACATATTTCTATGAATTCCAGAGTATGCAGAAACATTGGGTATTTTTATTGGCATTATTTGTGGTTCGAAGTCATTTGCTTGGATTCAAAACCATCCAAAAGAAAACCAACCTTAAAGCCTCAGTATACATGCACAACTCAAGTCAACCTTACTTTAAAGCAATTCCTAACTAGCTAGCTATATATCAAAACCTATATAAAACTACTCCATTCTCATCCTCTTCATCTCCATCAGAAAAATTAACCGTTTTAAGCTTCGAAAAATGGCTATGCCTTCATCCTCTAAAATCTTCCTCATTGCCTTTTCCATATCTCTACTCTCGTTTTCATCTTTAGCCCGAGATTATTCAATAGTGGGCTATTCGCCGGACGATCTAACCTCCATGGACAAACTCATGGAGCTCTTTGAATCCTGGATGGACAAACATGGAAAGATTTACGAGACCATCGAAGAGAAATTGCGTAAATTTGATGTTTTCAAGGACAATCTCAACCACATTGATGAAACCAACAAGAGGGTCAGCAATTACTGGCTTGAATTGAACGAATTTGCTGACTTGACCCACGAAGAGTTCAAGAGTATGTATCTAGGTCTGAAGCAGGACTTGGCCGGACGGCAGAGGTGGTCTGCAGGCAATGGAGATTTCACTTACAGGGATGTCGTGGATTTGCCCAAGTCGGTTGATTGGAGAAAGAAAGGAGCGGTAACTCGCGTGAAGAACCAGGGGTCGTGCGGAAGTTGCTGGGCGTTTTCGACAGTGGCGGCGGTGGAAGGCATAAACCAGATTGTCACTGGAAACTTGACGGAGTTGTCGGAACAAGAGCTGATCGATTGTGATACCACGTACAACAATGGGTGCAATGGAGGTCTCATGGATTATGCATTTTCCTTCATTGTTTCCCGTGGTGGGCTTCACAAGGAGGAAGACTACCCCTATATCATGGAGCAAGGAACATGTGAGATGAGAAAGGTATATATGCACAAACAAAGCTCAAGCCCATACATTCGAAACCCACAATTGAATTGGGCTTAGGCCCATATGTTGTATAGCCATTTTGATTTTTTTCATTCTCTTTTATTTTATTTTATGTAGGATGAATCTGAGATGTTCACTATAAGTGGGTATAGAGATGTGCCTGCGAACAATGAAGCGAGCTTGTTGAAGGCACTGGCAAATCAACCTGTAAGTGTGGCCATTGAGGCTTCCGGGAGAGACTTCCAATTTTACAGTGGGGTAAGTAAATGAATTGAGTTCGAGTTGTTTTTTAAGGACGACTCTATTCTTCTATATATTATAATTAACGTGACATGTTTTACTAGGGTGTGTTTGATGGGCATTGTGGAAGTGAACTGGATCACGGAGTTGCTGCCGTTGGGTATGGTTCAACCAAGGGTTTGGACTACATCATTGTGAAGAATTCTTGGGGACCCAAATGGGGAGAGAAGGGTTACATAAGGATGAAGAGGAATACAGGGAAACCTGAAGGTCTATGTGGTATCAACAGTATGGCTTCTTATCCTATCAAAAAAATGTGAACTGAAATCACATTCTTGTGATTGTTACTACCGTTTTAATGTTCTAATTTTCGTTTGTACTTTGAATCCAAGGATTCTGCCATATATTTCTACTCTTGTTTCTAATTTCATTATAAATGCATTATGAAATTTTATACCTTATAAATTTAAAAGATATCTACTTTATTAATTGAGTTATAGAGTTTTTTTTATGAAATTTTACTTAAAAAAATGTAGATTCATATTTTGATAGTTCATAAACTTCCTATTAACTTTAATTTGACAAAAACAACAAATCCGAATTACAAAAACAATTCGAGGTTCAAACTTTTTTTCTTAAAGAAAAAAAATCCTCTTGCATTTTAGTATAGTACTAGACCTCAAGGTGCGCTTTATGCACTTTATCTATTAAATTTAGTTAGGGTAAGCATTAAATCTTAGGTCATTACCTACAAATTATTCGCATAACAAGATAGCGAGGGTCACAAAAAATTGATTACGCCCTTAGCAATGCCACTGCATATCTTAACACCAGTAGTGCTAATTAAGATCAGGACTAAGAAGAGCACTTTCATCAGTGCTCCACCTACTTCACAAAAGTGGTGCATCTAATGCTTCATTGAAATACTTAAGAAATAGAAACCTGCAGGTATGTTGTGGTTTTGCCCAAGTCGGTTGATTGGAGAAAGAAGAGGCTATAAGAATGTGGTCATAAAAGCATCAACGTTTTAAGCATCACCTATGAAATATTGACACAAATATATGTTTTTTGCGCCAATATTATTAATGCAAAAAAAGTTTATCATAGCAAAATTTTTTAGTGTCAACTAAAAACCATTAATGTAAGCATTGTTGACACAAATATGGTTAAAAGTTTGACAAAACCCTATATATTGCAGTCAATGTTTCAAAAAAATTATAAAAATGGTAAAAAATAATTAGGTGAATAGTTTCTTATTATTTGTAAATAGATATGGTATTGTTTCATCATACTCTATGTTTTAGACTTGTTTCAGTGAAGTAGGAGTTAATAATTTTTTACTATTTGCATCAAAACTTGAGTTGATAGAAATAATTGTTGTTGCCTTTAAAACATAGATTTGGTTTGTTTTGCCTTGTTTTTTTTTGAAGGTTTTATTTACTTCTTCTCATTCGTCTTTCATAAAAGTAATGGGGGACCACTATTTATCTCAAATTTTAACTACATTTATTAAAATTTAGTCATACAAAGGAGGTAAAAAGGTAAAGAAATCATTTCTTTAAATAAATTTTTATTTTTTACCAAATTTGCATGTTATACATGCCAGATTTAACTTATTGCCCCTTTTTTTTTCTTTGAAATTGTAAATCTAAGTATTTACTCTCTACAAAAAAGATAAAAGAGTAAGAAGACCATTCTTTTAAAAGGTTTTTAATTTTTTTACCAAATTTGCATGTTATACATATTAAGTCTAACTCTCTTCTTCTTCTTCTTCTTCTTTTTTTGAAATTGTAGATTCAAATATCTAGTATTTAGCATCTACAAAAGAGACAAAAAAAAAAAAAAAAGGAATTTGGTTTGAATCTTTTTTCTAAAGCAAGGTCCATTCTCTTTTGTCTAATTCTTTTATATTCACTTTTCTTGAATATAGTTATTTGATTGTATTCTCCATGTCCTTCATATTCTTCAGAATAAGCTTCTCCTTCTTCAATGTTCTGATTCATCATTATTGGAGGTATATAAACTTTCCACTTCATATATACTTTCTTCGCTACTTATTGAACTAGCATCTAGTTCACTTAATTCTTCTTCATAAATTTTTAGGTTTTTGGGACTTTCTCTTTTGTATCTTTTGGGACTTTCGTTTGCATAGTGCCCTTCTTCTTTACACAACCAGCATATGCATTTCTTAGGATTCTTTTTATGCTTTTTTGATGTTTTTGTTTTCTTAAAACAACTTTTTCTTTCTAAAAAATTTGTTCTTATTAAACTTTTGTTTATTACTTCTTTTAATTATAAATTTCTTGTTTCTCTTGTTGTAGTTGGTGTAACTGCATCCTAACTTGATTGGATCGCTATTCTTAGGACAACATAGTCCTTTTTTCATACTTTTTCTTAGTTTGTTCTAGCTATAGGTTTCTAGGCACCATTCATTAATTTTGGTTTTAGCGAACCAAATCCTTAATCCTAAAATATCTTTCTTATCTTCTACATATATTCCATAGGCTTCTGCCAATTTTATTCCTCAATGATTAGGAACTTTTCCAAAAAACAATTCCATTAGCCCTTTAGTCATTCCATGATTTGAAACTTTATAATAGTATTTCTGGAATAGGCAAATGTATTGATCTAATTCACAGAGATTATATAATTCTAAATTTTATAGATTCCATACTGCTATTCTTCCAATTCTGGCATCTTCTTTTCCTTGATTTTCTTCCCAATTTTCTCCTAAGAATTCTCTCCTTATGGCTGATTCAAACATATTTATTATCTCTTAAATTGTTTCATTTTCATTAACTTCTTTTGAAGCAGGATTTCCACTTATAATAACATTACTATCTTCTTCATTTAGACCAGCAAACCAGTCATGAACTATCCCTTTAAAGGTGATTTCGATAAATCTAACTACTTGTAGGGCATTCCAATTTTTGTTTACTATGGCTATCCAAGTAGCTTGGGCCCAGTCACTAATGACCTTCTCAAGGTTGGTAACACAATCTAGATCTAGCCAAATACCATTAGTACTAATTATCTGTTCTTCGACTCTAACTGGGGTTTCGAGTTTAGATTGATTTCCAAATCTTTTACTCTTTTTATCATATATCACTTCATGCGTTAGATTTCTATTTCTTCTATAGCCTTGGCTTATGCTAGATTCTACTCCAGGTGGTACTGGAAATTTTGTTGGGGTTATATTAAGATGTGTTTCATCCTTTTCTTCTTCACTTTCCTTCTCTATTTCCTCCTTTTGAGTATTCATTTTCATATTTTCTAATTGTTTAGTAGTTATAGTAATATGTTTGCACAGATTATTTAGTTCTTCTACATTTTCTTCTTTTAAGAATTTTTGTTCAAGTTCTTTCAATTTTTCTTCTTGGGTTTTTAACATGAAAAGTATTATTCCTTTTGATTTAGATTTTTTCATGAAAATCTTAAGGATTATTTTAAATCCTTCATTTCTATCTACAATATTTTGCTTACTACAGATTAATATTATAGTATCTTATAGATCCTTGAGTTGTGTCTGGATCTTATAACAAATTTTATTTATATCACTTTCTAGTTGTGGAATTATTCTATTATACATCTTTAAGCTTTTATTGCAAATTTTTCAACGATTGCTTTTAATATCTTAAAAATTTCTTCTATTTTGATTTCTATTTCTCTTACTTGAGATATTAGAGCCTTTGAGTCTGTAATAAACCTTATTTCTTCTTTTATTTCTTTCAAATTTTTAGAATTTTTGACATTATTTATTCTTCCTTTAATAGAATCAAATTCTTGAGAAAGGGATTTTTCCATTTCTTTAATTCTTCTTAAGGTGTTTTCATTAATTGTTTCTATTTTTAGAATTTTATCAATAATAATTGTATATCTATATCTATTATACTTTTACCCAATGTATTGAGTAAATACATGTTAATTTGGTTTATTTGTTCATTACTCATGCTAATAGAAGCGTATTAATAGTATTTCTTAGTGTATTTATTCTTTCTCTTTTTGCTCTTATTTTGTAGTTAAGAGTTCTAACTCTTATTGTGTTTTCAATACTTACTTCTAAAGCTTCTCGTTCTAAGTTTACCAGGTTTCTCTCTTCGAATTGAGCTACTTGCTCAATTTCATCACAAATTCTAACTAATCTATCTCTATAAATATTCCTTGATTCATTATATTTTATTGGGATTATATTGTCACTTTTTTAAAACTTAAAGGACTGTTCTATTTTCACTCTAAGTTGATTCTTCCGTTAAAACTAACGAAAATATTGTACGATAGACTATTCTGAAATATTTTCCAAAGTTTATAGACCACTTAGAAGAAAAACATACTTTCTAGACTAAAATGAAATCAAGGTGTTTACACCTAAAATAAACCAATGGGAGAAGGCCACATGTCAAGTTGAAGCCCAATTATCAAGAAAAGTTAGCAAGTTGGATTTGGGTTGGGCTAGATTACAATTTAAAGGCCTAGACGAAATTTTAAAGAAGCTGGATTTCAGGTGGCAGAAGATAAAATAACTTCTGGTATTTGAGTTTGATTTAAGTTAGGAAGTTGAGAGTTTTTAAGAGGAGGTTATCTCTAAGGTTTTCTTGGAGATAAGATTGAGTAAAAACTGTCAACTGCCAGACAACTGCCAGACATGGAACCCGCACTACTCGATCATGGTGGAAGAGGATCGAGACACATGGAGGAGGTTTCCCAGCACCGAAGGAAAGAAAAACAGGGAGAAGAAATCAGTTCCAAACGGCATGCTCTACACACACACACTACCCAAAGCATGTTTTTCAACTTTCAGACTACTTTTTCTAGATTTCAGCAATAGTTTCTAGATTAGTTTGCAAGATCTGTTCTTGTTCATAGCCTTAGTTTAGGTTTTTCCATCCTTGTTCATATCTTTCCTCAAAGATTTCAATTTAGGTTAGTTTTTAAGCATTTAGAAGCAATTCAGCCTTCAAAACAGGTCTACCCTGTTGATTTGGTTAGTTCCTCTATCTTTTATGGATTCAGCTATGTTGTTTGTTTATGTAAATAGGTTGAATGCTTTTTGCTTTTGTTCTTTTGTTTCTGCACAACAATTAGACATACAGTTTATTTAATTTCAATTTTTAGATTTAATTTTACAAGTTTTCAGACTTTAATTATTTCGTAGATTCTCCTTCAGTTTTAGTTATCAAGTAGTTTAGCTATTTTTATTTTTAAATCCGCAAGTAATTAAGTTTAATTGTTATGGATTGCATAGTAGAAATTGTTGTATGTGATTTTACATTTTCTGTTGTCTGTGAATTTTATTTTTATGGCATGTTGTTTTCTTTTATTGATCTCATGTTAGATTAGTTGCCTTAGGATTTTGTGTTAATTTTAGGATTTGTAGCTTTTATTACACTTTTGTGGTTGTAAAGTCCTTGGAGGTTTCCAAGGCAATTAGTAACCCATTTTGCAAAACTCCACCCTCTGTTTTGCAACATTGTTTGGGGCGCAATTTATTTCACAGACGTTTTTTCCAGCCATCCCATTGGAGGTCGATCACTGGAAAGGAAAATGGTCATCTGGAAAATCTTGTTTTATTGTTTTTAGACAAAGCAAGTAGCACGACTAATATCCAAACTCATGTGGTAAAGGTTGGCTGAGGATTTTTGGGGAAAACACAAGGTGATAGTTAATAGACTAACTATTGAATTAAGCCCTTGTTTAATTCCAATCTTATTTGCCATGATGATGAAATTTGTAATGAAAAATCAAGTGCTAAATTTGCCTATCATAGAATAAGAACATATTGTACCTTGAATTTGTCAAATTGGCAATGGAAATGCACTTTTGTTTAAATCTAGTTGGTTGATTTTGGTGCTTTACATAAATTATACTAGTAATGAATTATACTAGTGATAAACTATACCAGTGATAAACTACACCAATGAACATTTGCTCACAAAAAATAAGGTAACACGTCTCATTCCATGCCTGTTGTCACAAAGTGCCTATTATATGGCTATAACAAAATATTATCATCTTTTTTGAATAAAAGACAAAACATAGGAATGTAATAGTCATCTTTTCCTAACAAAATCTCACTTCTTGTCCATTTACAGTGCCAATCAACACTATTTCTTTGCCCTCAGTTCTTTAGTTTTCTTCTCTTTTTCTGTTTCAGACTTTCCTCTCTTTCTTTACCTATAAAAATTAAACAATCACAATCTTGTTACCAACCATAAAGAGTAATTTAATACCAACTAGCACTATTTTATTTAAATATGGAAGCAATTGAACCTGGTGTAAACAACTCGCTGGTCTCGAACCAGTATCAATGGCGATTCCTCTCGAAACATCCTTCTTCGCTGCAGCAGATTGCACGATTCTTGAGCCTCCGATCCCCGTCGTTCTCTTTGAACCTGGCATGTTAATCAAAATTATCACTCCTTATTAGTTTATGGTCCACCTGGCAAATGGACGGATTGGGTTGGGTTGGGTTTGGGTCGAGTCAAAGCGGATCATGGGTCAAAACGGGTCATGGGTCAATGAAGACTAACCCTAACCCTAACCCTAACCCTAACCCTAACCCTAACTCGCCCATCACGGGTTATGGGTCAACCTGTGTTGACCCAATTGAATTTTTTTCCTTTTTTTCTCTATAATTTGTACTTATTATCATCCAAAAAAAATTATTCAAAAGATTAAAAAATGTAATTCAACATCTTATAAAGAAATTTTTTCTCCCATTAATTTAATAAAACATATTTACAGTTCCTCAAAATCACCTTCTCCACTTCCCTTCAAAGAACAATGCTAAGATCACACACCTATATTTGCTAAGATAATCAATTAGCTAATTAGGGAAAATTAATCAATTATTAAATGTTTAGGTGGGATTGAGAATTGAAAACCAAAATAAATAAATAATAAATTAAAAATTTTTTAATTTTTAAATGGATAAACGAGTTAAACCCGTTAACCCAATGGATCAACCCATTATTGACCCATGACCCGTCACACGGGTCATTAATGGGTCACAGGTCATAAATATATGACCCTAACCCGTTTTAAACGGGCGGGTAAAACGCGGATTAACGGGTTGGGTAAAAAATTGCCAAGTCTATTTATGGAAGCCATTGATTGATTCGCTCTGCAATCCCCGGACTTACAGGTAAACCTAAGGATTAATTTTCTTGGTAAAGTGTTCCCTTAGAAATCACTGCCAACCAAGATTTATCAAATCTGACCAGGTAACTCTGAAGATTCATAGACAGGATAGGCAAATTTCTGACCTATATGAATGACATTGTGATTTCATTGAACTGTTTCTTTGTTCCAAGTTTACAATCAAGAAAAGAAATGCTTAATTGCTGACCAAGTGAGGAATACTGCTTTTAAATATAGATTGAGTTGGTTGCTTTGGACTCTGTCTAATCGCTATCATGAGAAGAACCAATATCGCTTTTATTTAAAAAAAATGTATTTGATCACTATGATAGGAAGATACTGAAATCTCATCTGATTAAAACAATACTTAAAAAAAAAAAAAAAGAATTAGTTACTTTTCAGTAAAGAGCTTCGTATTCATAGAGTTAATTTCTTTATTATATAGTTTTTTTCAGAGAAATTAAGACTTTTTTTCTTTCTTCACTTTTTCTTCATTAATTCATCACAGCTCTGTTCGAAAGGCACCGCAAGTGGAGGTGGTGAAGGCAATGACACTTGAATCCTTTTAATTAATGGATTTACTCCACCGATTGATCTATTGCAGCCATTCACCTGTCGCCTTTCAGGTTTGAGCATTCAATTCATTCCTTGGGTTAATATCGATTTGAAGAGATTGCCGATTAATCTATGCTTACTGAAGTAGATATATTTCAATTGGTATCTTAATTATTCAGGCAGGGAAAGAAGTCGATTAAATAATACTGTCTTATGAAGTAGATATTATTCAATTGATATCTAATTTAATTGACATCTTAAAATCAAAAACTTGCATAGAAGGGTTTGGTAGAGGTAATACTGGTTTGAAGAGAATTTCAACCCTAGTATATACATACTGTCTTATGAAGTATTATTTGATTTGATTAATATCTTAATTATTTAAGAGATAATGATATTGACTTCTTAAGTATTTGCAATTCAGGGCTTAATAGTGATGAATGTGTTTATAAGATTAGTAAAGAAACAAGCATCTAATTAATATCTGGTCATGATCATGTCTACTTCTTTTCATGATCCATTTGATTCCTTTTTTTGAGGTTTTTCGACTTCTTCTTCTTGAATTAATGATTTTGAAATGATCAAATGATCCATTTGCAAAGCATAGGATGCTAAGGTTATGGCTTTAATGGAAAACTTCATTTTGCATCACTGTTTTTCTATTTTTTTTATCTTTTAGCATTATGCATTCTGTCTTTCTGACTAAGAATTAGAAGGCTTTTGATCCACCATGAAGAAATTGAATTTTTGCCAGACAAGAGAAATTAGTTTTCCCATAAAAAAAAAAAAATATATATATTCTTTGCAAGGTTTAACTAAAAACTTGATCTCGAAGTTAGTGTGGGTTGTTCAATTTAATCAAATCTCTTTGTTTTGGGTTGTTCATAATTAATTATGGTTATCAACAGTTTAAATGTGGAACAAAGTGTTCTTGAATTGAAAACAACAAAATGAAATACAACTGAACAAAATGTTCTCATGGAAGTTTGTGGGCACTACGTTGGTTGCTCCCCATGGGTGTCATTTGTTAAACCTAGTATCAAGTCTATCCCATCCATATACGAACAACACTATCCAAGAAGTCTTCAGTGGAGTATATTGGCATCTCCTCCCAATGCCGCTGCCTAAAACTCTTGACCAGATAGTCAGAAATGACATGGCTAAGACAGGAACATGGTTGGACCTTCAGGTCAACACTGAGAGTATTGGTGTTGAAATGGATGAAGCCATTCTTGAAGACTTATTGGAAGACATCATAATAAGCTGCACAACTGCAATTTCAGAACCCGAACATTCTGCACTTCTTGTTTACGTGAGGGGAAGAGAAGCAGCAACAAGTTAACGACTTGCAAAAGTTAACTGACTCAATTTTTCACACACCAAATCAACAATATAGCCCCATCTCATGCCATGGTGAACTGGAAAGTAAGCTGAATCAGTTCTTCTGCACCAGTAGGATGGACTCACCAAGGTTGAGGGGCTTCATTTAAATCTTGTTTTTCTGTTAATTGATATGATGGCCTTTTCTAACCTTGCCACTTGAAATCATG